AACAGAACTTATTAATATCTATCAACAAATACAACTAATCCAACTAGAAAATCTTCACTTTTATATAGATGCATCAATCAAAAATACTCAAACACCAGACCTTCAAATTGGTATTGGTTGGATTCTAGAAAATAACACTAAAATTACATTCTCTGCCAATATCACAAATGCTACTAATACTACAAGAGCTGAACTAGCACCAATAATATTCATACTTCTTTCTTTATTACAAAATCTTCATATATATATTCATTGCAATAACACCTCCACAATCCAAATTCTTAAAAACTTACCTTATTACCACTCTACACAAATCAAAAATAAAAACTGGAATTATTTACATATTATTAACAATCTTCTTCAAAAGAAAAATATATCTCTTACTATATATAAAGTTAAAGCACACTCCAAAAATGCATTAAATCGAAATGCAGATATTCTTGCAAAAAGAGGCACAAACAGACGATCTATTGAACTTAATTTAGATTATCTTATAACATTTCCCTTCTTCTTATAAGGTAATACTCTACTTATTTCACAAATCCATAAATTTAAAAAGAATTTAATTCGTGATTCACGAGAGATGTACAGAATTTCTATATATAGAATTAGGGCAATTTATTAGTAAAAACAATTAATATCTATAATATAGAGCTGAAATTAAAAAATTTCAATTCCTGTTAAGTTAACATCTTTTATATTTTTAACAAAACTTGTAGAAGCAATTTTTCTCTTTCTAATGATAGTAAAATTACCAAAATTGGCCTAATAGATCATGAAATATTTCTATTTTTGTCTTTATGATCATATGAAATTTCTTTGCAAATGTGAAAAAAATTTCATATAGCTACAAAGACAAAAATAAGAATATCTTATGATCTATCAGGCCAATTTTGGTGATTTTACCACCATTAGAAAGAGAAAAATTGCTTCTACAAGTTTTGTTAGAAATACAAAAGATGTTAATTTGACAGAATTTGAGAAATTTTGATTTTAGCACCAGATTATAGATATTAATTGTTTTTATTATATGTAATATCCCCACATAAATATATAGTATTACTATAGTAATTCTTCCTATCTCTCATAAATTACTAATTAATCTTTATTGAAACCTTTAATAAATTCCTTCAACTTAAAAATATTCGTAATATTCCTCAATTCAATATTAAAACCTTCACAACCATCATTAACTTCTGTAATTACAAATCTAACTTATTCTCACTACATATTAAAATACTACTAAACAACCTACCTACAATATCCAACCTTCATCTTCATTACTCTAACCTTTACTTAACCCCTAACTGTACCTGATGTAATCAATATGAAGATACTTTACATCTGTTAAACTGCAATTAAGCAATTTTGACCCATATTAAATACTTAACCAATATACAATCCAAACAATAACTGAACTCAAAATTGAAAATGCAAACCCTCTAACAATTACAAATATACTACTCAATACAAATACTCAAAATACACCTTCTCAAAACTTTCTCTTTCTCATACAAGGTAACCAATTACAATCTATCCTTACTAAAAATACTACCAACTTCTGTCTTTGTTTTTCTAATAATCTCCTTTCTTGGTTTAACTTAAACATTTGGCAAATCAGAAACTAATTTCAACATGACTGGGAAATCGCAAGAAATATTACATCTAAATCCAAGCAAATTAAATTTTCCTTACCAACTACTACCTTCAAAACTCCAATAACAACAATTTATAATTATAATATTGATCCATATATTCAAAATGACATAATCAAAACTTTTCTATCTTTTCATGCTTTTATTAATCTTATACTTTATCTATTAGGCCCTCTCTTTCCCCCTCTATAACTAATAGTAGCTAGTCTTAAATTAGTTAGCAAATAGAAAATTAAGAGGTGATTTGCTACACTCAGGTGGTTATACAAGATACAATTGATAGTTTAAATTAATATTATCTTGATATAAATCTGTAACTAATCTTATCATATATATAGCAAATTCAAAAAAAAAAAAAAAAAATACAAATTTTTTAACAATTACCAACATATTACTCAATACAAATACTCAAATACACCTTCTCAAAATATTCTCTTCTTCATTTGAGAAACAATTTCTTATAGTATTATAGATTAGTAACAACCAATTCTTAATAAGAATACTACCAACTTCTGTTTTAAACTATTTAATAACCATTTTATTTGGTTTAACTCAAATATTTGACAAATTATAAAGCAATTTCAGTATAACTAGAAAGTTTCAAGAAAGATCACATCAAAATTCAAATATATTAAATCCTCTTTGCCAAATACTATTATTAAAAATCCTATAACAATTGTTTATAATTATATTATTGATTCATTAATTCAAAAATAGCATATTCAAAACTTTTTATTTATTTATATTTATATTAACTTTATCTCTAACTTTAGATCTTCACTTTCTCTTTCTATAACTAATACTAGTTAAACTTAAATTAGTTTTTAAATAAAAATTAAAAAATGATTTGCTGCACTTAGATAATTATACAAAATATAATAAATAGTTAAATTAATATAATTTTGATACAATCTATAAGCTAATCTTATTCTATATATAGCAAATTCATAATAAAAAGATAATAAAAAAATAAAAATTATTACCTTTAATAACATTAAATTTTTTTTTACTAAATTTAGATATTTAATATTTGCTTTGTATACTTTTTTTAGAAAGATTTTCTTTAGTTCTAACAAATAAAAACCTAAAGCAAAATATATTTTTTGCAATAAAATAAACCTATATAAAGTACTGTAGTAATAATAAATTTATATATTAAAAATATTTAAAATTTTCTTTAGATATTTGAACATATCTTCTTAATACTTATTAATTTTAGCAACAAAAAATATAATAAACCTAACTATTATATAGATCAACAATCTAGTATTTCTTTAGATAAATCAATTGCATCTCTTCAAAATAGTCAATTGTTTTTACACAATCAGATAATAATATTATACAGTTGCTAATTAATATATATGAATCTAATAAATTATTGTTGAAGAGTATTATATAAAATAATATAAATCTTTCTTTTATAAATACTAAAAAATTTAGAGTTAGTTTATTCAATTATTATGCATTATTATATCTCAGTATAAAAAAATTTTATTTAATATTTTTAATAATGTTTATAAAAAGTTTAAACTTCAGTTTAAATATTTATTTGTAAATCTAAATGTAATAGATGAATAAACAAATATTTATCAAGATTATATTATAAATTTTATGACTATTGGCAAAAATTAAAGAACTGTGCTTGTTGAAATTAAAAATACTTTTGAAAAGCCTAACTTCAATAGTTATTTTAACATTTTGAAAGATATTTAATATGAATTGATACTAAACAAATTACTATGATTATTACTAATGAACTGCAAATTATATTTGTATAAAATTATGCTTCTCAAAAATATTCAAATATCTTGGCATTACTATATACTGTATATAAACAAATTTTTTAATTATTAAAGCATGAATATGTAAAATTAACTATAAGTTTGGTTACAAAAATTATTACTTATTTGCAAAAAAATATAGACTATTCAATATATCAAAAATAGTACATTTTTGTTTTACTTCCTACTATTATACAATTACTATAAAAAAAAATTACAAATAATATATATACTGAATAATAAGTTTATATAATAAACTAATATTGAATTATTATATTGAATAGATATGGAATCATTTTTAATACAGAATAAATATTGAATTGTTATACTAAATAAATATGAAATCATTTTCAATACAGAATAAATGCTGAATTGCTATACTGTCAAATTACATTCTTAAACAAGTACTCTACAAGTTAGATACAGGAATGTTAATACAGCCTTGTCTTCTAAAACTTATATGCATAACCTTTGTATAATAAAACCTTCTACAATGCTCATATCACACATAATGATGCCTTTACTCTGCAACTAGGTCTTCTTCTAGTAATTCCTATTTCAGTCTTATACTTTAACAAGGCTTCTCGACTGATTATGACTCACATTTGGGTCACAGAGGCATTTGCTTCCAGTCCGACTTGACAGTTGTCCTCATCTTTGGGGGTTTGGGAGCTTAACCACCCGCAAGAACAATGTTTACGAAGTTAAATATTGTTCATAATATTATAGTTTATTTTTTTATATATTTTAATTAATAATTGTCGGGGATGATGCTGAAGTTTGGGCCTTAATTTAAAATATAAACCCACTAAAATCACCTATACTCATTAATTATAACACTAACCCTAAATTCTAATCGAATATAAAAAAAATGCTGAACAAAACACCCCAAAAAGATTTAAATTTTCATAATAAGGTAAGCCAAAATTTAAGCATCATCCCAACGATAATTAAAGTAATGAATTTAAATGAATTCGAAAAAGCAGAAACAAAGGTTCATTAACTTTTAAAAACAGTATATGAATTGTAGGTATAAATTATAATTGTATCATGACTATATCGCACAACTATCCTAATGATTTATTGATTCTGAATACGAGGGTAGGATAAGGGTACTTTGCTATGTTAAGTATCAAAATCCTAAATTGTAACGGCAATAGTGATAGTATTTTTTTTTGTCGTCTTATTGAGTAGATATAATGAAACTGCCTATGAATAATTTCGTTATTCTTTAAGAATATGAATGTGTTAATAATATATATATTTACAGTTAATATAGGTTTAAAATTCTAGATAAGTTTGCCGCTGTTATAATTAGAAGAAATAATCTAGTTAATGCATATTCTAATAGTGAATAATAGATATACATAATATCGAAGTAGTTGAACCGAGAATTATAAATTTAAAATTGAAATTGATGTCTTCATTAAAACGATGAAATGTTGAACATAGGAAACAACTATTTCGAGAATTGTGATAAATTTTTAAACTTACATTATAATATCCAAGCACTGTCAGTTGTAATGTAATTGATTTGAGCGTAGATAAGTCTAGATACTTGTTTTCAAGCTTAATTGTCCATTTACTAAACGGAGTTGGCTTAAAATAAATTTCGTCATCATACGTAACGTGAGTCAATACACGATTATTTGTCTTTATTTTATATGCAAATACATGACTTTTTCTAGTCGCTGCTTTAAAATGATAATTAATTCCCTGATATCTATCAGAAAATGTGTTTGAGCTATTAATATAGAGTAAGATTTCATCGTTTTTCATACCAACTCCTTCCAAAAATACTTGAAATTTATTAAGTCGAGCATGATCAATCATTGATAATTGCGGGTGGTCCAACGGGATTTCAAATGTAATAAATCTATTACGTTTAAACTCTTCTATGTGGTTTTCATCACTGATATTAATTGTTCGTATAAACACTTGTGGTTCACCTTGAAATCGCTGGTAAGCCCTTTCTAGTTCACAGGCCATATATTTCATGTCTTCTTCATATTCGCTGAATTTTTTAATAACTGAAAGTTTCTGTTTAGATTCTGAAAGAGACCAATACTCATAAGCACAACGATAGTTTTCCATGTATATTGTAATCCAACACTTTAAATTGATTAGGTGTTCGAATAGTAAAAGTGCAATATGATTATAATCATCTTGTTTTAATTCAAACTTTCCAATCATAGTCCTAAGTCGGTTTTCTTTTTTCTTAAATGTTTCTACGTGCAATTGGATCCGTAAATGTTCTCTTTTCTTTTTGGTTGCTTCAATTTTTGCTTCGATATACGAGTTGATAAAAATAAAAAAAAATTTTAATGAATTCAAATATTTTTCTGCACCTTCGATTTTTTGATCGATCGGCTAAAAAGATACATTGAATTTATTAATTGGTAAATATATTATTTTTTTCAAGAATAACGGAGGACGCTTAATTTCTATGCAAAGTGATATATTTATGTTTGATTATCATTATCAAAGACATTTTTGTTTCTACGCGATATTTTTATTTTTATTTTTATTTTTTTTTGCGACGGATTTATATATGTTTTTCTAGTTTAATTGGTTTATTGAATATGAGACGGAAGCTATGCGTACAATTTGATAATGCACCAATACATTGTATATCACTTTGCTTAGAAATAGAGATCTCCACTTTGCTCCAGACCAAAAATAGGATTTTATCATTTTTCGCTCATGTGATGTCTGCTAATCGTAAGCATTGGTATAATGTGAAATCAAAATAATATATAATGATAGGGATAAGGTTGGTTTCTAACAAAAAATATCGTGAAACTTTTTTCGTTAGAACACCAATTGTTGTTTCAGGAACAACATTCGAATATTCACACGATTTTTAGAAAAGTATTGTTGATTCGATTTCACATTAAATAAGATATTGCTTTCTAATAATTAGTTATTCAGAGTAGCGATGCAATTAAATAATAAAATCCTTATAAATAAATGTAGGTATTTACGAATTGCATTAATTCCTCCATGTGGCTATTGATTAATTTCAATTTTGTATTTAATAGGATTCCTTTTTGATCATTCATTTCAAGGCTAATAAAAAATTTATTAGATATTTCATCATTTTTATATGGTTTTTATGTGTATAAATGATCTAACTTACTTTTTTGCAAGCTCATCAATATTCATTGATTCTATTTTTCCGCTTTCGCACTCAATATTAATTTTATGATCATCAGCCATATCTCTATTACTTTCTAACTCATTTTTAAGTTTAGTTATCTCACAAATTTTATCACTTATATTTCTGATCTTTTCCACATTTTCAGAGCTAAATAACTCTTCGATTTGTTTTACATCTTCAGAGCCATATATTTCTATGATCTTTTTTATACTAGCATCTTTAAAAATATTTTGAACTGAATTTGACACATTTTTTACGATTTCGCCAAGATTTGCTATACTGGTAGGTTGAATAACAATTTTGCCAATAGTTAGTGATAATTCGAAAATAGCAGTAACAATTTGCATTCTCGCATCATGTTGTTTTTGATTCTTCCAGTCATTAATTCCTTTTTCGAGTGCGATTCGCGCATTACTAACATCTTCTTGCCTTTTCTGTTATATAAAAAAATACATTTATTGATATATTTGCAATTGAAATTTAATCATTGTCGCGGCTGAAGCTTGAAATGTCCGAAGCTTGAAATTTTAAATACTTTAATATGAAATTTTCAAAAATTTTTGGGGTGCATTTTTTAGCTTTTTTTTTTATAGTTAGCTTAGGATTTAGGGTTAGTTTTTATAATAAAAATGTATAAGTGAACTTTGGCAGAGTTTGTATTTTTATATCGAGGTTCCTAATTACAAGCTTCAGTCGTTTCAAACTTCAGCGCGACAATTATTATAAAACATACTTCAAGGTCTCTTTCTGCTTTTTTCATAACTTCAAATGCTGATTTATAAAGATCATTCCCTTCATCTTCAAAATGCAGAAATGTTTGTATAGCATCATTGCAGTCACTTAATAACATTTCTAATCTTTCTTTTTCTATTTTGTTAATGTCTCTACTCTCTAGAAGTGCCATGTATTCAATTTCATAAGATTTTGCAGTTTTCATGAAAGTTTTGATATATTTCCAGTACTGTTTCTTATCAAGTAGTGGAATGAAGCGTACTTGATCTTTTATGTCCATCCTTCCTTTAAAAAGGTTAAATAATTCAAAACTTGCTAAACCATGATGGTATAATTCCTTTATCATTGCAGACTGTGATTGTGATTTTATTTCGATGATCCATGTAAGAATTGATTTTGTAATTTCCGGCTCATCAAAAAATAAAGCACAAGCAATTTGCAAGGAAAATTGTAACATTATATTAAATGGTTCTCTTTGAAAAATTTTATCGTCAAATTTTTCAAAATATCTTATATCTTTAAATTGCCCGTTCCGCATTAAAAGCGTTCCACCAATATGCTTACAATTATGATTAGATAGAATTTTATTAGTAACAGTATTATATGCGGATTTTAATTCTACATTAAGGTCTAATGGAATTTCCATAGCATACACCACTAATCGAAAAGGTTCATTTTTCTTGCGGTTAACAACGATTTGACTTCCCGTATTAACTTCAATTCGTCTTGCAACTATTAATACAACATCAAAATCATCCGAATCTTGGATGATTAGGTTTTCTGAGAGCTGAACCACGTCTCCATATATACGAATAATATTAGCTTTGATGTGTTCCCGATTTGCAAAAACTTTGCTGAGATCAATGACCAAGTCGCTTTCCAGGAACTTTATATATTAGAATAGAAACATTTTAGAATCATAATTATCTGATAAATACTTGTTATTGGTTATGTTGTTGATGATACCTAGGTTACTTAAAATCCCTAACCCAATAACATGATTGCTTTATTGTAAATTTCTTGCGTAAGCACCTAGCAATTTTCTGAATCTTATTGGGTTACTTTTTTAACCTCCGATACGAGAATTTTAGGTAGCGTTCCTACAAAAAATTGTTCATCACCGGTAATTTTGACCAATCAAAATTTAAGATCAGTGTCAAAACACGTGTAAGTATAAAAAGTTACGTGTAAAATGAAAACCAAGAAAACCGTGTCATAGTTGGGATAGGATTCGAACAATAAAGCTCTTAGAAGTAAACACCACAAGGAACATTTTTAATTAGGCCGCAGTAGGCGGTTTCCTTATTAAATTTAGAGTTATTCTTGTTTTTTTGTAAAAGTTCCGACACCTGATCCTGAAATCCGATTGGTCCAAATTACGGTGAGCAATTTTTTGTGGAACGTCGATGTATTCAGCGTTGGGCAACTAGACTTATAGATTCTAGTTGGAACGCATATATCAAATTCCAATTCAAAGTACTGGACATGACCCAATAACATGCATGAAAATGCTAGGTACTCACATAAGAAGTGTACAATAACATGAATGAAAGTATATCAATTCACCTCTATTTGTGTATACTGTGATACTGGACTATACGGTATTTTAAAAAAGTCCAATATATTTTGGTACAATGTTCTCCAATCATTAAGATTTTCGTTTAGATTCTTGCCTAATTTTTTTAACCTATACTTTTCAACCATTTTAATTTTCAAGACTTTTAATAATTATTTCAAAGGAAAAATGTATATGTTTATATATGTTTATATATATATATATATATAAGTACTACGTAATTAAAAAAACAGGTGATGATTATGATGATTATACATAATCAGTATATGTTTATCCAGATTTAACACCTGTTTCAAATCGGCGAAAAATATTTTGAACTATTTTTTTTTTTACCATCCCTATTATTAATCAAATCTTCCGATTTATTTTGCCTAAAAATGCAAAGCAGCCCGAGCTGATGATCCGATTTGCGTACGTACGTACGTACGTATGTACGTATGTACGTCACCAAGTTTATGAGCATGACCGAAGTTTTAATGTTACACAGGTTTTTAAGTAGTGCGTCATATGATACACAAAATGAATCGTACGTTTTCTTTGAAACTTTGTCAGACTATTCTAAAATTGCAAAGAAAGTGTTTTGTGAAAATCCATCTCACTGATCTCTCAACTTTCATAAGAGATGACTACGAATGTATAATTTAATACAATCGTCCCTCATTATTATCAACCCGTTAATATCAACCTAGGATATAAAATGAATTTCTATATGTTGAATGATATTAAAATTCCCTCTTATATATTAACTTTAATATGTACCCCCATTAATATCACTATCAACATGGATATAAAAGCGATTTAAATAGGTTGATATTAATGAGGGATGACTGTATTAAAAATATATGTATAAACCTCCAAATGAACGTGCAGCACTGGTACTGTATAACTAGTGATGTGCCATTTATATGATATCTGAATTTTTATCGCGTACAGTACGTATAGTGATATAGTGGTATAGTGTGTATAGAATACGTAATATACATAATACATGTAGCATTTATAAATCAGTTATATGTAACATTTTGCTAGAGTGCAAAAGACAGTTTTATAGTCAAAAATTTAAGATAGGGATACTTTAATGATTTGTTCAAAAATATTCTAAATAATTTTTTGCGTGCTGTACTGTACGTGGCACATCTTTGGCATAATTATGTAAATCCAAAATAGCATTGCAAACTTAATTAAATTAATTTGGTTATTATAAAAGCTAAAAATCGAAATTATACTATTTTTGTATAATTAATAATTTTTGTATTATTTAAAGGCCGATAGTATCGTGTAACATACTTACAGTTAATTAAACTACGTACGTACGTACGTACAATAAAAGGCATTGCATCAAACAGTATATATCAATGGCAAAATTATTATTATCGTGCTTTCAAATTACTGTGATCAGCAGATGATCATCCATCACACGGAAATCCGTAAAATTCCATTAAATACATTATTTTTTAAAAAATTCCACCTAAAAAGTTAGTATTCCAAAAATTCCTTGTCAAATTCCGATTCTCTTGTATATCATCCATTAGTGTACTATATCTTGAAGTGGTCGGATCAAAGAATACTAAAATTTTTTGGTGTTCTTTACTAAATTTTCTCAAACTTAAAGTGATAATAGCTGGTCGTTTTCGATATTCAAAGCCATTTTCAAATTCTGAAGGCTTGTAGGATTCGAAAATGGTATTAAACATTGAAATTTACTGGGCTATTGTTGAGAATATAGATGTAGCCCAAACTATTTAGGACGTCCCAAAACATGTGATGATTAGTATCACATAATTTCGGCAATAAGAAAAAAAAACTGCCAAAATTATGTAATACTAATCATCACATGTTTTGGGACGTCCCAAATAGTTTGGGCTAAATCTATAGTTGAGAAATCTTCAATCAAACTTTTAAAAATATTTAATATTAGAATTTTATACATAATGTTCGCAATACATTTGGCTGGTATAATTTTCAGCCAATCACGGGCTTGCATTTTACTAAAATCCTGATTCCCAGATTTCCCGTGATGTGTGATGCATGAATTTTGCTGATCACAGTAATTTGAAAAGCACTGTAAATTACTGTAATGAAATTTTGCTTTATAATTCTAGATTAAATTAGGATATATTGCAATTTTTGTAATTACTAAACAATAATATTTTTGTAAAGTAAATTATTTTAGCGTTTAAATTTAATTAACTTTGCATACTCGAAAATCCAGATAACTGCTATCTCGGATTTATATATATAAAAAAAACTATCACTATTACTATAAAATAAAACCAACGTCATAACAAATAATTTAACAATTCTTGATATATGTCAATATGCCAAACAATATTGGCAATAATCCAATTGTTATTGGTGATATTTAGCTTCTTCGATAATAAAAAATCTGATTCTAGTGGTCGTCTTTAACATATTTTCTGATTTGATAAGGAAATCCAATCTCCTTAGATTAGAATGCGTCAATTATATGTAATTTCATATGTCTAATGAGGTATGTTATTGGGAAGATTGGATTTCCTTATCAAAATCAACCGATATGAGCGAACATAACGGTGAGTTCATGAAATTAAGACAAAATTCGGTCACAAAATAAAATATTTGGCTCCATTTATCTGCTAGTTACAGGCCAATCCGACTTTTCCACTTTTGATGCATCTCATTAGACATAGAGGTTTATTATAATGGTGCACTCTAACTCGAAGATAGTAGTTATTACGGTCATTATTTTCAGGCTTTAGGGTATTTCATAAATTCGTCGCAATGAAAGCGGGATGCTTATATTGTTGATGAAAAATAAAAACATATTCTATTCTACGTAAATATTGTTCTAAGCATTGGTAAAAAGAATATTGATCGTTGGATAATGACAAGTTTTATATTAGGAATCGAAATACTATACTCCTATCTCTGTTTTTATTTTAACAAATTCTGAAAATTTGTGGCTTCTAAAACAAGACTTAATATCGAAGGTATATCAGCTTTTACTTTACTTTTTTTTAAAACAAAATTTAATAAATACAAATCGTATAGTAAAGCATTTAAACATAATAAAAACCAACATCAAGCAAAGGTCATGGAAATACGGATCAAATCATGTTAATGGGCTTTAAGGATTGAGAACGATAATAATTAGCTTTAAATAAATTACGCAATAAATGTCAAAATGTTCAGTTTATATTTTGAAAGTTTTCACTGTTTAGTCTAAGCTTCAAAAAATAAATCGTATTAACCTTTCACATGGATAGTTTATATTTTATTGAGTTTTGTAATGAGTATTGTCGGCATTATTAGTTGTTATTGTACTATAAATTTTTCTAAAACACATCTAAAAACAATTCATATTTACATGTTTCAAACTATATAGTTATGTTCTTCGTCATTTTTCAATTTCCGTCACTTTGAAAGGGACATACAGTATATCATTTAAAGTAACGTACGTTATTTCATAATCGGTGAAAATTTATTGCTCAGATGATTTTTTTTTATAAAAAACCCTTTATGTAGCGTACAAACATAATCATAAATGCCTTATCATAAATGCTCTGTTACATAAATTTGAAGCAAAAAAAAAAAGAAAATCTATTTTTACATTATTTACGAACAATTAGGTTGATTTTTTTATTTTCATTGGAACGGCTTTTTTTCGGTTGGAAAAAAATGGTCGTTTCGTTTGCGTTCGTCGAATAGTTGGGTTTTTCTATGTAAAAGTGTATAATTAATTATTACTTGATAAATTGCTTATATTAATTTACACATATTTTTTTAACGTTTCTGTTTTCACTAATTAGTTCTTCAATATTTGATTTAAAGATCGAGAAAACTTTTGTTTAAATCCGGCTTGTCTCAATGAAATCATGCTATCTAAGGGAACCAAGATAATTTGAAGTTTCTA